AATCCCAATTTCCATTCTTTGGGATTGAATAAAATCCAAAATGGAGCGGTTCCAGTTGAAATGTTTATTCTGGCACGGGGCACAGACGGTGTCTGCTGTGGCTGCGCAGCGGCTCCGCATCCGCTCCCCTGGAAAAAAAACCAAAAAAACCTCAAATTCAGGGAAAAATCCCAAAATGAGGGGAAAAACCCCAATTTGGGATCAAACACAGCCCGGAATGGAGCGGTTCCAGGTGAAATGTTCATTTTGGCACGGGGCACAGACGGTGTCTGACAGGGTTGTGCAGCAGCTCTGTATCCATTCCCCTATAAAAAAAACCAAAAAAAAACCCCCAAAATCAGGGAAAAATCCCAATTTAGGATTGAATAAAATCCAGAATGGGGCTGTTCCAGTTGAAATGTCCGTCCTGATACGGGGCACAGACGGTGTCTGATGTGGCTGTGCAGCGGTTCCACATCCGCTTCCCTGGAAATAACACAAAAAACCCAAAATCAGGGAAAAATCCCAAAATCAGGGAAAAATCAGGGAAAAATCCCAATTTCCATTCTTTGGGACTGAATAAAATCCAGAATGGGGCGGTTCCAGGTGAAATATCCATCCTGGCACGGGACACAGACGGTGTCTGACAGGGCTGTGCAGCGGCTCTGTATCTGTTGCCCTATAAAAAACCCAAAAAAATCCCAAAATGAGAGGAAAATCCCAATTTCTGACTGCTGGAATGGAATAAAATCCAGAATGGGGCGGTTCCAGGTGAAATGTTCATCCTGGCACAGGGAAATGGGGCCTGAGGGGATCTGCATCCTCTCCCCTGCAAAAAAACCCCAAAACCATCCCAAAATCAGGAATTGGGTAGGATCTGGATGACAAAAACAAAAAAAAAATGAGGGAAAAATCCCAATTTCCATCCTTTGGGATCAAATAAAATCCAGGATGGGGCAGTTCCAGGTGAAATGTTCATCCTGCACGGGCAAACAGGGCCTGCTGGGATCTGCATCTTTTCCCCTGGAAAAAAAACAAACAAAACCACCCCAAAACCACCCCAAAATGACGGAAAAACTCCCAATTTCCATCCTACACTTAAAAAGAAGAAAAAAAAATCGATATTACAGTAAAAATATTAACACCTAAAATAGGTTTACACCTTAAAATAGATATTAGACTAAAAATAGATATTACACTAAGAAAAAAAAAAATAGATGTTCCATTAAATATTTGATATTTCACTGAAAAGCAGATATTCCACTAGGAAAAAAATGGATTTTCCACTAAAAAATCCATTTTACGCTAAGGAAAATAAGTGATATTACACAAAATAATAGATATTTCACTAGAAAGCAGATATTTCAATAAAAAGCAGGTATTTCACAAGGAAAAAAAGAGATATTCCACAAAATATTTTATAGTTCACTGAAAAACAGATATTCCACTAGGGAAAAAAATCGGTTTTACGCTAAGGAAAAAAGAGATATTCCACTAAATTTTGGATATTTCACTAAATATTTGATATTTTTCACTAAAAAGCAGATAATTCACGAGGAAAAAAATTTAAATTTTGTCCCCAAAACTTCGCGATTCCACTCACCGGGGGCGCAGTCGCTGCAGCAGCGCTCCTGGAAGAGATATTGGCGCTCCGCGCAGCGCAACTCCCGCGGAAAAACGGGAACGGCCGCGGCCAGGAGCGCGCACAAAGCCAGGGAACGGCAGGGAATCATCCCGGGACACCGGGAAAAATCCTGGAATTTCGAGGGATAAACCCCGGAGCCGAGGAATTAAAAAAAATCAACCCGGGAGCCGCGGGATTCAAAAAAAAAAATCAGCCCCGGGGCACAGGGATTGCAGGAAAAAACCCCGGAATTTAAAGGGATCAGCCCCGGAGCTCCGGGATTCCAAAAAATCAGCTCCCGGAGCCTCGGGATTTCAGGGAAAACCCCCAGGAATTTCAAGGAATCACCTCCGGGAGCTGCGGGATTCCAGGGAATAACCCCCGGAATTTCAAGGAATAAGCCCCGGAATTTCGAGGAATAAGCCCAGGGGCGGCGGAATTCCAAAAAATCACCACCGGAGCCGCAATTCCCGGTGCGACGGAGCGGAATTCCAAGGAGTCAGTCCCGGAGCGGCGGAATTCCAAGAAATAACCCAGGAGCCGCGGGATTCCAGGGAATCAATCCCGGAATCTTAAGGAATCAGCCCCGGAGTCCCGAAATTCCAAGGAATCGGCCCCGGAGCCGCAGTTCCCGGTGTCCCGAGTCCTGGAATTCCCAGGAATCAAGCCCGGAATTTTAAGGAATCAGCCCCAAAGCCCCGAAATTCCAAAGGATCAGCCCCGGAGCCGCGAAATTCCCGGGAATCTGCCCCGGAGTCCCGGAATGCCAAGGAATCGGCCCCGGAGCCGCAGCTCCCGGTGCGGTGGTGCGGAATTGCCGGGAATCAGCCCCAGAGTCCCGAAATTCCCGGGAATCAGCCCAGGAGTCCCGAAATTCCCGGGAATCAGTCCCGGAGTCCCGGAATTGCCGGGAATCAAGCCCAGAGTCCCGAAATTCCAAGGAATCGGCCCCGGAGCCGCAGCTCCCGGTGCGAGGGTGCCGTTCTCCTCCGGGGCTCTGCGCTCGGGGACAGCGCGGGTCGAGCGCGGCGCGGGAAATTCCGGCTCCTCCCCGCCCCTCGGCGCTCCCGGCGCGGGGATTTCGGCAGGAAACGGCGGCGGCGGCAACGGAAGAGTTAAACGGGGGGGAGGAACCGCGGGAACGAGCGGGGAACGAACGGGA